GCACAGCGTGGATGAACACAATGTTTGAGGAGAGTGTGCAGCTGTCAGTCACCGCGCCGATGTGGATAATGGAATTTAGAATCACAGATAATTCTTTTTGTATGACCAACATAAGAATTTTCACCAGAAAATGTCATCTGAACTAGTAAGAAACATCCACCTTTGTTCTGGTTCTGACATTGCAGTAAATCCCATTAATTAAATCTAATAATTATCATATCACGCAAAACTGTGCAAATGTAGGGAATCTCGGGATTAGCTCTATAACAAGGAATATAATTTTAATAATTAATCTTGAAACATGATCAGGAATCAACTACAAATTATAAAATTACACGTAAGGGAATAAGATGCCAGTGTTCTGTACTTTCAATAATCAATGTAACGGCAGAGCCATCGTCGACGACTGATGACGCATTGGGTTCATGAATGGTTGTTCCATTTCGTAGTGGAATATTTCAACCCCTTGGCCCTTGTAACTTTGTTTTAAGGGCCAAGGGGTACAATCGAAAACAAGGGGTAGGGCCAAGGGGTGAATTGGGATTGACCCTAAGACTAAGAGGAAAAGACAAACTGGAGACGTCCAAGAAGGAGAAGAAGAGAAGTCGAAACTGCCCCTTTTGGAGGGAGTTTTTACAATTGTCTCTTCGCAGGGCATTTGAATGTATAATTTCATTGGGTGTTTACAAAAAGAATCAACAAGATTCTTATAGCTAATACTAATGCATCATAAAGTTGGCAAAATGTAATGTAAATTAATTAATGGGGGAAAAAGATTGGAGTTTATAGATACTAAACATACTACGCATATGATTTTTGGGTTAACCATAGTATGCAAGTCATGTATCAAACCCAAACTAGTTCAGAGGGGAGAATGAAACATAGGCCAAACCACTGAAAAATAGATACATGGCAATAGATTTATCACATGGTTTTATATATAGAATATATTTCTTCTTCTCAGCAAGCAGGAGTAGTTCACTTTAAAAACAACTTTTGCTGATAATTTACTCACCCATGTCATCCAAGATGTCCATGTCTTTCTTTCTTCAGACAAAAAGAAATTAAGGTTTTTGATGAAAACATACCAGATCGCATTATTAAACTATTAACTTAACATTATTAACTTAACTAAAAACATTATTACAAGATTACCGTTTTGATAGAAGGCAAGCAGATCGTTTTGAACACTGGTTGGTTATGTATTTTCCCAAATATGCATTTTGGCTTATTTTTAACCCAAAAAAGTGCAAAACTGCAGCTTTAAAATATGTATATATATTTTTTTTTTCATATGGGTTTCATATATTCCCACTTTTGTCTAATTGTCTTATATTGACTATAGAACGGTTTAAAATAAATTATGTTTAATTCCTTAATGTAATTCAAACCAGTTTATTGATGTTAAAATAAAGATGTACTCTTCTGCGCCGGAGCTGAGAACATGCTGTCCAAACAGTTGAGCAGTGTGAACTTCTCAGGATATAAAATAGTAAGTCTAAAGGCAGGTGAGATAAAACTCATTATTCTATTATGAACTACATAAAACGACCAAATTACCATCCAATTATTTTTAAGTGACATTAAATTATGGGTGTATTGCAGTAAAAGTTAACACTCCTCAAAAAAAAAAAAAAAAAAAGGTTAATAAAAAAAAAATGTAATGAATAATTCAGTTTCTGGCCTAATCCAGCAATGAGAATACTTTAAAATTGACACATAGCCTCTATACTGTATTTTGTGTTTGTACAATTAGCACTCCTATTGATTTGTGATGACATCTTTATTATAAGGCACGTTTGGGGAAAACGTCAAGTGGATTTAGGGAAACATTTATAGTAGTTTGTGATTGCACTCTGAGGGTCCTTGGAGATCAAAATGTCAAGGCTATTATTTTCTTTCCATTTTATGTGATATACCACCTTTGCAAACCTACATGATAGACAGACAAAAATTGCTGCTATATCTAGTTTGCTGGAAAGCACTTTCAAATCATAAAGAATACTTGCAAAGACTTGGGAGGAAAAGATTTTGCATTATTGCTGCCTAGATAATTTCTGAGATCTGCTTTTTCTGGTGCTCTGAATGGCATTAATATTTAATCACATTATGAATTGGGAAAAGGAATACAATTACCAAAGTAAATACACCTGTCCCACCATGCAAGAAATTGCAAAAATCCCACAGCGCACAGCTTTCTTCCCTGAAGGTAAGGAGCGGGAGACGATTGCACTAACTTTGAGATTTGCAACACTGTAATCCTTGACTCTATTTATTTGCTTTCCAGCATGTCAGTTCAAAGGGTATCCATTTGTTATCCCTCAAATATGTTTTGACTCACTTTGCTTGCTCTAAGAAATCTAATACAATTAGCAGACCTCGGGGACAGCCTGCACCTGTATTAATCTCTCAGGTCTATGTTTCGTCTTGAGCATTGATAAAGCATACACTCTTAGAAAAAGGGTTCATTGGGGCTCTATACATGAACCATAGGGTTCTTTACTCAACTCCAAAGAACCTTTTATGCTAAAAAGGCTCTATAATGACAAGAAAGAGCCCTTTTGGCACATCAGTTCTTTATAGGCTATTATCATTCATATGTTACATTATTCTGCAACATTTTGAAGGTAAATTATTGTTTATTAAACTGTTGTAGTAACTTAATATCACATTTTAATCATGCTGATTTTTGGAGGAGAATGAGTGAAATGGCACTCTTTGTGTGATATTAATTAACTACATAAAATGATACAAATGTATACATTTTCTAACCCCAATATCTTGAATTTTTGGATCGTTCACATGCATTCATAAATACATTTTAGGGTCTTGATGTTTGTCAATAATATGAAATATTTGATCCGGAAAGGACAAAACAAATGATAATGAATGAACCCAAAAGGTTCCGTATCAAACTTTTTCCTGGTTACAAAGAACCCTAAAGGGTTCTTATTATTGAACCCTCATAAAGGGTTCTGTATAGAACCTTTTAGGGTTTCCAAATATGTACGCACTGATAGAACCTATTCTTCTAAGAGTGTATAATGGAGAAATATAAATTATTGAGCTCCATTAAAAATATCAGTGTGCTTCAAAAGCAATTAATTCTATTTCAAATAATTTTTAAAATACTGCCTCAATCTGAATGCCTGTATTGATTGGGTTAGTGATAGAATGGTTAATCTAGCTTGGTCAATGCTTTCATCTGAAATAAAATTATAATATGCAGGCTTGTGTGCTAAAATGGACAAAATAAAACACATTTTATCATTTGCTATCCCTGCTCGTTACATTCATGGTCACTTAGACGATTTAAATATGTTTCTTTTCCTCTCCTTCATACAGAAGAGAAACACAGCTAAATGTAATCTGTAGTTAATAGGTTCACTTTTGTTGGCCAGGGATGAGCTCTTCATCTTTCTTTCCTTACCCTTCAACTCACGACCAGGTGACAGCAGCCAAGTCCCATCGAAACAGTAGGCTCTCGTAGTCTCTGTTGGCAGTGTGTGTGGGTGTCTTTTGTGAATCTTTGACAGAGGCAGCCTTGGCAATAGAAAAGAGAAGAGGAGGCTTTGTGTTACATGGAGTAGGAGAGCAAAGCTTCATCATAAGCAACTGAAACTCCATTTACAGTACAATCAGACATGGACGTGTTTGTGATTCAAGTTTAAGTAAACAATTATTATTAGTTAGCATAGAAGGATAATAATGTCTGGCATCGACAAGCATATGTTTGCAGATGGCAGTAGCTGATGGATTTCTCCGAAAAAGCATGGTTGTGTCCGTGATCCTATTAATTAACAACTCAAGATTGCGGTTCAAGAAAGTGCATGAAACAACCGTTTATATAGTGATAACTTGATAATAGCATTAATGTGCATCAAGGTGAAAACCTTGGTGAAAGGAAAGTGTTAGGTTTGCAGTGATGCCTTATTTGTTTGATTGGACATGAGAAATGCAAAGTAAATTACCCTTTTTCTTATTAATCAGTCTGTATATACTGGCCGGTTTCATCTTCTGTACTGGCTGAATTTTTCATTGTTTTCTTTGGCCTTCCAATGTCATTCAGTGCTCTGAAGTGTTGTTTATGTTTTATTTTTATGGCTCAGAAAGCCTCCCTCTGCTGTCCCGAGTGCTGCTGGGTTGGAATGGCTGTCGATGGGAGCTCCACTTTTCTGTTGAAACAGATTTACAGATTAATTATGCAAAATGAAAATGCCAGTGCAATTTTAAAGATTTAGTCAAGCTGGTTGCAGAGAACCTGGATGACAAACTGTACCAATTTGTACAAATATTAACCTAAAACTTTAGTGTTTGCAAGCACCTCAAATCTCTGCTAACATTTTGAGGTCGACTGCGATTTCTGTATGAGAAGGCCTTGCTGTGCAACTTCAAAATGATTTAGGTTGCCTTTGCTGTTGAGAAGCTATAGGTTATAAATATCATCTTTTATCCATTATCCACAGGCCTCAGTGATACAGATCAATAAATGAATCGCTCTCTTACAGGGATATTGCGTAAACTAAGTCTGTTAGTCAACATTCTGATCATGAGAAAAACGTAATGCTTTTGATACTTGTGCTTACATTAAATAAGTATACTGGTTTAGAATTAATTATTAAATATGATTTCATGTGGGCTTGGAAAGTCCGTTAAAATCAAGGAAAGCAGAGTGCAATCTTTTGCTGAGCTTAACTCTGTTTTTCTCCTGTATGTAAACTTGAAACCCTCTTAGACATTTCCAAATTTGATTGTGTTGGCTACTAAATGATGGCCAAGTCCTATAGCTAAATAACAGGAACTATATAGACTGTAAAATGTGTCACCTGACTAAATGGGACTAAAGAAGAAAAGTTGAAAAATCCTGACGGCTCACGGCAGCTCACAAGATGAATTTAAGGACATCTGCTTTGACTAACCACAGTAGTTAAATTTGTTCCATCCCATCTGAAAGAGGAACCCTCCCTCTTGAACAGGCTCCCAAATTACCAATGGAATGAAAATTTTGGCTCTTTGGATTTCAGTGAGAGGGACTTCTGGGTGAAAAAAAGGTTTACGGAGAAGATAATCTTTACTCCAGCTACAGTTATGGAGAATAACCCTTACTTCAGCAGTCAACAAGTCCTTTGCAAAGATGTGAGTATTTCATGTGCATTTATATGCTATGATTATTATTATTATTATTATTATTATTAGGAAATCTCAAAGAAAATAAAGTCCCAAAATCAAACATAATGTTCTATAGGAAAACGTTATTCAGACTGAATTGACTCTTTAATGTATACATATGAACTAAACTAAATTATTCATACTATATATTTTTTTTAAAACACTTAAAAGGTTTAGTAAAGATAATGTGTGAGATCTCAAATTATTTTTTTTATTTGAGTTAAATTGCTCTTTTTAAAGGTTGTGATATGTGAATGTCGAGTTTGGATGAAATGTTAATTTCTGACTGCAAGGCTTTTTGAGTGTTTCATTTTTTTATTTGTTTTCTTCCTTTTCTCCAGCTGAGTAGCACGCTGTATGGCTAGACATATACTACTGTGCAAATTATTCCACATGACTAATAATTAAGCAATCAAGATAATTTTCTCAACATTGTATATGCAATCATATGTCTGCTTTGCTGAAAATCAAGTGGGTGGAAAAAAAATGTAACCACAAAATTATTAATATACACTTTCGGACTAGCATTGAGTCCGTGATGATGAATATAGATTTGGGCAATTGTACAACAGTGTGCAATTTCTTTTAAGAAGAAAGATCTCCATCGCCATCAATGATGTGAAATAACAGGCAGATTAAAGGGTGATTCTGCTCGGTTTATCCTTTCAGATGAAAATTGTTTTAGTGCAACCATGTCTGTTTTCCTTCTCTTGTCCTCTCTCATCTCTCGGCCTCTTTTCTCGATCCCTCCCTCCCGCTCTGCCTCTCTCTTTCTCCTCTTCGCCCTTCCTCACTCTCTCTCTCTCTCATCAGCAGGGGGCCCTGAGCTCCCTTCTTCAATGTAGACTCACACTCAATCCCGCTACTGCAGAATTGCCTCGCTGATTCTTAACCTTAAACCGGTTTAATACTGTTTTGCTGGCAGCCGTCTGTATATTTTCAGAGCCATTTATATTCCAAGCAGATGGAACGTTGTCCTCCAGTCAAGTTTCCACTGCTTATGCAACCTCTGGATTTCAGCACTATCTCTGAAGAAGAATTTTCCCTTGCATGAAGCAAAAATATGAATAGAGGAATTTTAGGCTTCTCTAATTATTTGTCCTCATGTTTCCTGTCCTGTGTAGTGAGATGGCTTAAGCCTTGATTTTTTTAACAGGGTTCTCATGACAAATTCGATGTGAAACTATCTTATTCAGTCAATTTGTGCACACTTTTCAAGAAAATCTGTTTTTGAAAGCCAGTGAAGGTATGTACTGTATGTATATATATATATATAATTAGAGTCTTAAAGACATGGTCTGATTCCTATGTCTCAAACTGTGAGATAAAGTACAATCATAGTAGTCACCACCAAAGGCAGGCTTCTGAGACCCGAATGATTTTTATGATCTTGTCACAATTTTTGTCACAAATAAAATTATTCAGAGCTGCAGGCTGCTCTATAAATCAAATGTGGTCTTGCGAGCCACATTTTGACTGTTTTGCATAAAGTCTGCCACATTTTGTTATTTATTCTGTCACAAAGCGAAAGAAATGATGACGCCGCTTTCCATTCTACATACAAGAAGTAATCAGAGAAAACTGCGTTGACTTTGGTCCAGCCAGATAACTTGGCAAAGTAGAGAATATTTTAGAGACATAACTCTGAAAACAAAGCAGAACATACATTGATAATAAAGCAACTATATTTTTATATCACAACTTGTAAACAACATATGCCGACTCAACACAAAAATGCTAATGAAGTGATCGGGTAACACTTTACTTTGATGATCCCTTTTGAAAGTAACTTTGCAACTACATGTCAACTAACTCTCATTATTAGTAGACTGTCTGCTTAATATTTGCTGACTCTTTAATATGATGCTCCGCCAGCATTCTGCCTATAAGTAACTTTGTAACTACAGTACGTCAACTTGTTCAAAATAAAGGGAAAAAAGATTGTGAAAACTATTGCATATTAAAGTTATTAATAATAATAAAAGTGCATTATTCAATAAAAAATACAAAATTGAAACCATGCACATTGATAGAGGTCTGGCCTAGTCTATGCTCTGAATATCCACTAAACCTAGAACCGCACATGGTCACCACTGCTATTTCTGTTCTTTAAGCTTCTGTTTCGGCTAGAGACATTTGCTAATTGAAGCTTGTTCCTCCATATTTCATAATTCTGATTGGCCATGTCCTGAGAGATAGTGGAGCACACCACTGTGAATAGTAAGCTTTTAGACTCTCCCTCCTGGAACTCAGCCGGAACAAAAGCCTTTCTTTATTAATTTGCGGCCATAAGCTCCGGGAATTTAATCGAACTGACGAACTTTTAATTTGGGACAATTTTAATAAATGTGACCTTTTGAACATCCTGAAAGTATTCAAATTGCCTATGTGATTATTTCTTTCTCAGCTGAGCACTGTGGTGCAATACATTGAACGTGTGCAACCTTTAAATGGAATGAATAACATCATGTAAATATACAAATGTACAATAATGTGAATGTTTTTATAGGTTGAGCTTGGGAAAGAGAAGGAAAGAAAGGCCAGGTATCACGCTTACCAGTGTGTCGCCATCATTCTGAGTGTTGTATTCCTGATACTGGCCCTCTGTATCTTCAGTCTGAGATATATATGGAGCCCAAACCCTGGGAAGGTAAGAGAAATCCAAATCTATTGTGCAGACCAAGTGATATTACTGAGAATGGTGCATGACTGTGGATTAATTAGGAAATGATTAGAATAACAATCAAGCAATGGAAATGAAAGACACAGAAACATCTGCACAAGCTGTTTAGTATTCTTGGAACTGACTGAATCCAATCTTGATTTCCTTGGCATAAACAATAGCATCACAGAGTTGGAGAAAATGCTAGAATGATTAGATAAATACATATTAAGTTTTACAGAATAAGACTGCGACAATAATCTGAACTGCAAAACATAGATATTAAATAGTATAATTCCCCAATTCTTGTTGATGCTCAGAAACGGTCAGCACGTAAGTAATTGGCAATACCGAGTGTCAACAGACATGCAAACCTTATGCTTCTCCCAGAGGATGTTACTCGTAGAACAGCCAATTCTTTTAGCGCATTTGCTAAAGCTCCAGTCTAATTTCTGCATCAGATATTTCACGCTTCTGCTTGAGGAGTCATCATTTTGAGCAGCAGAACCAGTGAAGATTCTCACAGGGCATGTAATGGGCTTAATGACACTGGAAGTCTGGGCTGTAGAGATCACTCTCAAAATCCCACTCTCAAACTGCTGCTGTCGGCTAACTAAAGGCCCGTGTAGTCGCTGATATCCAGCAACGAGCAATATAAAGGTGCTTTAAAACACAATGATAGGCCTAACTGTAAGGGAGTCTCCTCTCAACAGCAGTCAGGGTGAAATATTAGGCAAGTGGTGTGTGTGCGTGTGTGTATGCGTGTACACAGTATGCCTCAGGTGCTGACATCAACAATGAAACCTGAATGCGCAACTATTGCAGCTCCGGGCATCACAATTCTGCAGTTTCGATATGAATATTTCAAACCAACACTGCATATTTCATAAGCCACACCTCCCCTTGTTTAGACTTGATGAAATATAATGTCTCTCGCTTCCCTTATTTTGCTACAGTAGGTAAGACATCATCAATTATTCCCATGCTCTTAAAAGGAACAGCTCCTGACAAACTAATTAGAAGTCAATACATCAATAGAGCAGGAGATTGTCTTTGCCAATCCCACCATGTGGCATCAGGGAGAGGCAAAGCAGTCTCCTGTGTCTAGCTCTGCATAAACTGTCGTAGAAAGGTAATTTGCTCTCCTTATTGTATTTCAATATGACATGGTAAGCACTTGGGAACTTCTTTTAATTACTTACAAACATATGTTGTTACAGAAGCCCAGGGAAGATAAAGAGTTAGCCATCATACTATGTGTTTAAGAGGGGCGTGTGCGCGTCTAACTGTGCGGCTGCGTGTTGTCCAACTGCGCCATTATGTTTTTCATCTCCTAATTATTGTTCGCTTCGTTCCTGTGGGATTAAATGCCTGTCATATCACCTAATAGAACTGAATTTAAAGCAATTGCCTTTTAAATGACACACATAGTAGCAGTGCTGCACTTTTTTTAAAAAACATCTGCTGCAGTAAACTGATGTCATCAATTTTTCTGACCTTTCTGAATGCCTGTTGTCTCTTAAGGAACCGTAGTTGACAGGTGCAGCAGCCAAGCTGAATACTTGCAGGCTCCCTTATCAGGCCCGAACCACAGGCGTCTGTCATATTGACCACGGTGTCTGAGAACACCTCGTATAGATCACACGAACAGCGGCGGAGAGGGGCTGTGAAATTGCTTTCGCCGCACACGTCTGTCATGTTCACGAGACGCCCCCCATTATTCAAGCTGAAATTACTTTGCTCACCTTGTTGCTATGTTGTGTTTGCAATCCAGCCTCGCAAAATGTGCCCCCAACCGCCTCTTAAGGACTTCTGTGTCCTGATGTGTATCTTAATGAACACAGTTGCACCTGCTCTCCAGTAATAGTGGCAGGTGCCGGGCAAAGAACGCTCCCCCCTTTGTTTACTAGCCACGTCCAGCAGCTTTTTTTTGGACTGTTGTTGGTTGCAGAACCTGATTTCACCAGGTGTGACATTTTCCTGGATGAACTGTTGATCCTGAAACAACAGGGAACATTCCATTAAACCAATCAGATTTGAGAGACAAGTTTAAGTCAAATGTAGCCTTACAACCTGGGTTAGGTGCTTCTATATTACCTAAATCTGTTATTCACCTATCATTTCCCTCTGATTTTAGGGATAACATATGTAAGGTTATGTTTAGGGGTAGGAAAAAGGGTTAGGACAAAATTTTCACCAGTAATGTTGTTCAAGGATCAACAAAATAGGTTGACCCAGGAACACGTCTAATTTGGCAAAATCAGGATGTGCGTGTTGGTCCACTCACAAGAAAAGACGGATAGACTCCAGGAAGGCATGATGGTGGCACTGTCGGCTTTCTCAAAGCGGCCCTAAAATAGCCCAGATCTTTGTGTGCCCCTTCTCTCTCTACGGAAGATCCCCAGGTCTTCGGATCTTGGGGGAGAATAATTTCAGTAATGAAGCTGACTGGCCAATCCGTGCAGCTGCCTTTGGAAGCACCTCCATATGGGTGGTGCTTTCGGGTATGCAATTTACTTTTATTTTACTCATCAGACTCATTTGTTCATTTATGAGCTTGTATTTTTACTGGGCTCATGCAATATTCTCCGACCTCCACCTGGCTGAAGCAAACTGTTCCCTTGTAAAGGAGAGGCAGGAGAACATGACACGTCCACTCGACCCAGTCAGGGACTCTCGGGTGGACTGTGAATGCTTGTAGAAGTGTTTTATATGTTTTCAGGTGCTCCTCAGAATTCCTGTTAATTATTATGAACAGAAAAGTGGGAGCCTGCATAATAAGTCTGTAGCTATTTTTTGATATTAAGTTTATTAAGATATTAAGTCAGGAACAATGACCTCATAGACAAAGACAAGCAAGAATAGACAAAATTCTAATTCATAGAAAACAGGATGAATTTGAATGTTAGTATTGAAATTTAAAGAAATTGTCATTTTAACTAAAATAGCAATGTTTGTAAAAACAAACTTTGAATGTTGGCTTGACAACGAGAGAGAGAGAGAGAGAGAGAGAGAGAGAGAGAGAGAGAGAGAGAGAGAGAGAGAGAGAGAGAGAGAGAGAGAGAGAGAGAGATTTTATTTCCCAGAATGCATTTCCTTGACTTTCTCTATAATACAATTCAGTAAATTACTCTTCCTGTTATTTAATTCAAATTCAGCTTTAACTTTCAAGTGGACTAACAATTTAAAGTTGCAGTCCGCAGTTTTTTCCTCTTTGTCACCATCTCTGTTCGAAATCTGTAATTGCAGTCATTCACGGAATTATCAACTTTACAAGAGTTGTACTTCAACACGACACAGCAACCCGGTCTCATCCCAAGACGTCATATAACTGACGTTTTGGGACGTCTTTTGACCATACGTCAATATTCGCCTTTTTAGGGCCCCCTTAAACGTCGGTAGATGAGGTTATGGGATCCTAACTCTACCCCATACCTAAACCTAACCCGTCACCTACCTGACGTTAAAGGTAAAGCGTCAGTTGTATGACGGCCCGGGATCGCCATCTAGCGACGCTTAAGGGGGCCCTAAAAAGGCGGATATTGACGTATGGTCAAAATACATCCCAAAACGTCAGTTATATGACTTTTTGGGATGAGACTGTGTTAGACACAGCGCGGATAAACACAATGTTTGAGGAGAGTGTGAGTCACCGTGACGGTGTGGACACTGGTATTCAGAATCACAGATTATTCTTTTTGGAAGTATGACCAGCATAAGAAGTTTCACTGGAAAATTTAATTTGAACTAGTAAGAAACATCCACTTTTGTTTTGGTTCTGACATTGCAGTAAATCACGCTGGTTAAATCTAACAATCACAAAAGTTATCATATCACGCAAAATAGTGCAAATTATACTTTGTTCTCAAATTGTTAATGTTAACAAGGTCAGCATTGCGTGATGATATGTCTCATTGTTTTATTATAACAAGCTTACCACTTTGAATCAGGCTAAGGCAAGCAGATAGTTTTGAACACTGGCTGGTTATGTATTTTCTCAAATATGTATTTTGGATAATTTTTAACCCAAAAAAAGCTATGGACTGCAGCTTTAAATAATTCAACGGTTTTATATTAATTTTACGAAATGTTATCACATGCATTATACAGTACATTTTCTTGTTGTTTTTATTTTATTTTATTATGATTCACATACTCCAAACTGAGAAAAGGAATAAGAGAGGGGGGCAGCTCCACATCAAAGTCATATTAACATCACTAAAATTCTAGAAATCTCAAATAGTACTTTAGATAGACAAATAGAGATTCTGGATGTACATATTTACAATGATGTTATTGGTCTTTGCAAGCAACACATAAAATATTCTCCTCTTCATTATGTACGTGTGCTACCCATTTCCCTTAGCCTCCATTGCCTTTCCCTCTTTCCCATCAAGACTCTGTTCCCCTGAAAATCAGAGAACAGAACAGAGATCAGTTCTCTTTCTCTTCCACAATTTAGTTTCTGATTGAGCTTTCACATCCTGTTTCGATTCTACACAGGGTGCCAAGAACTAGTCCTGCCACACAGCTCTCTAACAAGAGAAAGAAATTTCATCAGATTAACCGAAACCACTCTTAACACCACCCAGATCCAGGGAATGTGTCACATTAATTCAAATGGATTAAGGGTTAAATCGGCCCGCCATGGAGTTAAATATCACAGTCATTGAGATGTGGCCAACAGTTAAAGTGAATTACCCTTTTTGATATTAGATCGGTTTCTGAATGATTTCATTTTCAATATAACCAGCTTACAATGTAAGTAAGTAAGTAAGTAAGTAAGTAAGTAAAAGTTTATTTATATACCACCTTTCATAGGGCCACAAAGTGCTTTACAACAAAAACAATTAATATCATAAAATACACACAATAAAAAAAAAAAAAACATAGACAGTGCATGATCATATCAACCCACAGGTAGCTAATTGAAAGCCTGAACAAATAAATGTGTCTTAAGTCTGCATTTGAAGACATCAACAGAATGG